AAAATCTTTAAAAAAAAAAAAAAAAAGTACAGGAGAGGAATGAAAATGTTGGTGGAGGAGGAGGGCAGTAATAGGAATGTGTTAACGGTGAGAGGTCAGAGGCTTGACGTACAAAGAAATGAGGGGAAGAGGAAGAAGGAGAAAGAGAAACACATGACAACTGGAGCACAAAGAGAGAGAGGAAGAAGAAACAGGAAAGCTGGTGGATGAACAAGGGCCAGCAAGGCAGGGAGCAAGAGGCGTGTGTGATGACACGTTGAAGAACAAAAGAAACTGTTGATGAGGGCAGTGAGGCTCTCTCTTCTGTCCTCCTAATTTATGTCAACCAGCCTAGTGACAGCTTAGGCTGTATAAAGCCCTTGTGGAAATTGAAAAAAGGCACCCTCTCTGGGTTAGTGAATTAGAAAAATGATATTCTTGAAGTGAGAACAGACCTCCTGAAGTGAGCTTATAGAGCAGAGGTACCTTTGTGTCAGCCTTCAACTCTTTCCAGCCAGTGCAGTCCCATTAGGTCTCATTGATTGGCTGGCAGATCTTGGGCTGGGTTTAAAGTCCCACTCACCACCTCATCTTGTGCCCATATGCAGGGCTAACAACTCAATCATACGTGGTGGCCCGGCCTCTCCTCACCAGGCAGGAAGGCATCTTCACACATCACCCATTGAACCCTAAGTATCCCCATCAACCCACTGCTGGGCAGCCCAATTTCCCCACCCACTTCAGGGCTGGCAGGATGTGCTGAGTGCTATCATTTATGTAAACTCCTTCCTTCAAAGCCCTTCCTCCAATATTATGAAATTCCTACAATTCCATTGCCAAACAGCCATGAGCTGGAATTGCTGAGGACTGGTAGTTAAGAGGGTAACTTCTCATTTTTTAATTCTGCTCACAGGAGAGGTCTATGGAAAGGTACAGAGACACTAGGATTTGAGAGACAAAGACATAACAGGTACTATGAGGCCTGAAGTCTGGGTCTGGGAGCAATCTGACCAGAAATTTTTGCTTTAAGCAGGTGTAACACACAGGATGCTCTCTCTAGATTTAATCATTCAAATATTTTTTGTCTCTATCCTCGTACACACCACAAAGAGAAGAGGTTTCAGCAATACGCTGAAGTTTAGCAAAAGAAACTTTTTGCCCATTCTATTCCCAAATATTTTCATCTTTTTTATATCACAAAGATTTGCTGAATGAGGGCATTCCAATCCCCACATCATCACTCTAGATTGCATGTGTGGCAAAACGTATATACACTATATTTCCTTTGCAGCAGCAATGGGGCCAGGATGACATGATAGAGAACCAGAGAAAAGAGAACCATAGGATATTTAAAATGCATATGGTCATCTTGTCAAAAAATTGCACAAAAATATAGGAAAAGACCCAGCAACAGTTGACAAAGAAACAAAATGAGCATCTCTCCTTTGCACTCTGATTTTGCCATCTATCTCACCTTACCTCCCTCCTCACTTCCTTCCTCCCCCAGGAATGCATTTTCAGAAATGGATCGGAAGCAAATGAATTGAGCTAATAGAAGTTTTACAAAAATGCATCTGTTTCTTCTTCTAGTTTCTCCCGCATCACAAGGATATTCTCCTTTGAGTTCAACAGTGGAAGCAAGCAGAAACTAAGGCTATGAGATTTTGGCGGGCAGAGAATGGGTGTCATTTTTACCTGACTTGTCTACTTCCAAGGCCAGATCAGGAATGGTACACATAATTGATTTTTGTATGAATAATCATGGTAAGAGAGGACTTGAAGTTTCATAGGTTACTGAATAATCCATAGTGAGGACCATACCACCTAAAACTGACTGAGAGAAGAGTTATTCCTTGAGGAGTTGACAGCAGCATTTCATACTATCTCGAAGGGCCTCTTTGACTTTGTCATTCCGGAGCGTGAAGATGAAAGGGTTCAGGAAAGGAGTCAACACAGAAATCAGCAGGGAAACTATCTTATTGTACTCAGCTGCCTGAGTTTGCTTGGGTTTCACATAGAGGAACAGGCAGCTGCCATAGCCGATCACAACAAAGGTGAAATGGGAGGCACACGTAGAGAAGGCTTTCCTGTGGCCAGAGGCTGAGGCGATCTAAAGGATGGTGGAGATGATGTAGATGTAGGAGACAATTGTCGGGGCCAGAGAACCAATGATAATGACAATAGCCATTAAAAAAAGGACAAACTCTGTGAAAAGAGTGTCACCACAGGACAGTTTGAGCAGTTGCCCTCGGTCACAGTAAAAGTGATCTAACAAATTTGATTTGCAGAAACTAAACTGAAATGTGGCATAGACTGGCCAGATTTCAGAAAGAAACCCAAATACCCATGACACCATTACCCCCAGAAGCAGGTGTGGCTGTTCATAATGATGTTGTACTTCAGAGGGTTACAGACTGCTACGTAACGGTCCACAGCCATTGCTCCCAGTAACGCAAACTCTGTGGTCCCCACAGCAAGGTACAGGAAGAGCTGGGCAACACATGCAGGCAGAGATATTGTCTGCATCCCAGAAAGCAGCAACCCCCAAAGCATCACAGGGATGATAATGGATGTGATCAGGATCTCCGAGGCAGAGAGGTGGCCAAGGAAGAAATACATGGGGGACTGCAGACGTTTGTCAACACAGACAATCATGATGATGACCATGTTCCCCATTAATGTCACCAAATAGAGGAAAAAGAATATAGCAAAAAGAATGTGATGTAGTTCTTGGGACCCAGGGAAGCCTAGGAGGCAGAATTCAGTGGCCCTGGAGTGGTTGACCATCATGTAGTCTTCTTTCTGCTCCTTATGAAACCTAGAGATCAGAAGAGAGGTAACACTGCTCCACATGGTCCTGCTCTCAAGAGAGAAGGAAGACAGATTAGGATGAGGAACTATTTTCAACATGATGATTGGGTGAAATGCACCTACTGCCATGCTCTGCATAAAGTCACACCTAAATGTTCTCACCTCAAATGTAGCTCAAGGCTAGCTGCCTGGAATGGGTGACAACACTTTCTTCTCTACTGGTGTGAAGACAACCTTCCTTGTCTTTTTTCCCCCACTGGACACGCCTTCTCACAGGGAACAGAGGTTAAGATCTTGTGAAATGGCCAATTTTAAAGCTGAGCCCATTAGCCCCTTCAGTCCTGGGATTGTCTTACTGCCTCTTAGCTTAACTGTACCAGATAACGTCATGGTATTCTAGATGATGTTCAAAGCATGGAACTTTGAACTGCGGCCTTCATCCATACTGGTACTACATAAACCCACCTTAAGGCCAGCAGAAAAGAAGCATGGGGTCTAAGACCAACATCTCTACTTTCTCCAGATTTTAAAACCTCTGTATTACAGAGCAGCAAGATCTGCCAGTGAGAACTCGGGAGCTTAGGACAATTTCCCAGAGCAGATTCTTTCCTCTCTAACTCCATTTTCTTTCCAAAGTCTTGGGAGGAAGGAAAGACGACACCTGGCACTGACAAGGACAGATCTGAGGCTGTCATCTGCATAGGATGCCTGAATCTCTGCCCCTCACTTCATCTATCTCATTTTCAAATGTCGTCTCCTCAGAGGACTCTCTCCAATCACCCAACCTAAAACAGGAAAGACCTGCTCATTCTTGAACTTTAGTTGTCTTTGTAGCACTTGTTTGTTTATTTCACTCCTTCATTTAACATGAAACTAATGTAGCAGTGAACAGAACAAACAAAATCCCTTCCCTGTGGAGCTTATATTCAAGAAGAGAGTTGAGAGTAGACTGTACACAAGACAAGAAAGTAAAATATATGAGATGTAGTTCACCAATCATGCCATAGAAAAAATAAAGCAAGGAAGAGAGAAAAGTAATTCTATTTATTCATTCTTCATCTATGACATTAGAATATAAAATCCATGATGGCAAGGACATTTTTCTGTATATATGTATAAAATATCATTGTGTCAAATAAGTAGTGCTGGAAATTTTTGTTAGGTGATGGATGTGTGGATGTATGATATGTGATTAAGTAGTACTTGGTCCTGGTCAAACTAATTAGACCATATCCCCCAACCTGCTCTTCTAGCTTTCCCTTCCTGCCTCACGTTACCATTTTCCCTTCCTCCCTTCTCTTCCTAATGCAATCTACTCAATATCTCTGTGGTTCTTTTACTGATGGGCAAACAGGCTTCAAGGACAGAAGTGTTGGGAGAGTTCAGTGGTCTGCTTTCCCAAATCTCTGCATAAGCAGCATTAGATGAAGAAAACAAAAGAGAGGATCCTGACTACATCAGGGAGCTGGGCCTATCCCTAGCATTGGATCAGTGAAGAACTGTATCTGCTCTCTGCTGTGCAGGGGCCATTTGGAGATGAGCCCATCTGCTCTGCGGCTCCCCTAGCCCATTTCTCAGGCTCTAGGTGTCCTTGTTCTAGAAGACACCAAGCCCAGACCTTCCCAACCTGATCCTCTCCTACTCTTTCCATTGTAGAGGGGAACTCTGAGAAGACACTCACCTTTTGAAGAGGCTTCACTGCCAACTCTAATGCTCTCCAGGGCTCAGCCAAAGCTAATTCCTGTCTACATGGGGGTCAGAGCAACTTGCTGCTGTCTCCACTCATGGAGAAGAAGGAAACTGTTCTCGGGGAAGAGCTTAGGAGAAAGTCCAGAAATAAGAGTGTTGTGAGAGCTGAGTGTCTCTCTCTGTCCTTCCCTCCTGCTTCCCTCCTTCCCAAGGGGACTGAGTCACTGAGGTACGTGTTCTTAATTAGCCCAGGTTCAGGGTTTCCCTAAAAAAGCAGTCCAAGGAGAGTAGAACAAACTTCTAGTTAGTCTCGTTTTTGACCAATTAATTTTCAGAACTTTTTAAAGTTTTTTTTTAATCAGAAAAACCTAAAATCTTGCTAATCAGAGGCTTCTCAATACCAGGGCTGCCTTCTCCAAAGGCCCCAAGTCTAGTTTTCCAGAAGATTTCTCAAATTCTAAGCAGATCACCCTTTATGCCCTTCATCCTAGGCTCGGAATAGGATTCTCTTAGCTATTTGGAGCCAAAATCAGCCCCAACTCCAAATAGAAGATACCACAATTGACCTCTAAAACATGCACCAATATCCAAAAAAGCCTGCCTCTTGGTCTCAGTCAAAGCCTTAACTTCACCAAAAATCCCCTACAAAGCCTGATTTCTCCTTCACTCATTTTACAGAGGCTCTTGCTCCTAATCTGTGGACCCTCCAGAACATTATAGAGAGGTTCAACACCTAAATCCAGCTCCGCTTTCTGGTATTGTCTCAGGTTTCCACTCTTCTGAACGTATGTGCAACTGTATGCATTCAAGCAAGATTCTTCTAGCCATTTACTTCTATGGCATGTCTCTGATTACCAGCTGGGTACTTCAAAGTTGGGAGAGCATAAGCACAGACAAATGTAGGCAGTTAAATTCACAACCTAGAATAACCCACAAAATGTAAACTGGAAATCTGCTTGGAGCTGGAGTGAGAAAGAAAAAGTGAGAGTTACAAAACGCTCATCTGGATTTTAGATTTCATTTAACGTATACCTGTTAAATCTGAGAATGTCAGATGATGGAGCAGGGTATAAATTGGGAATAATTTTCCTTCTAATTCCTCAAATTTCCCAAACCCAACCAGACTGCCATATAATCTCAGAGATATTTTCTAAGCATATATCTGCTTAGTGGTTTAAACATAATGCTGTGAAAATTTGCTTTACAACCTTTTCTCTCTCACTTAACAGTATATATAAGATACCTTCTTGTATCAACGTATATTGCCCTACTTCTTTTTTTAACATTTTATTTTATTTTATTTTGTGAGGAAGATCAGCCCTGAGCTAGCATCCATGCTAATCCTCCTCTTTTTGCTGAGGAAGACCGGCTCTGAGCTAACATCTATTGCCAATCCTCCTCCTTTTTTTCCCCTCAAAGCCCCAGTAGATAGTTATATGTCATAGTTGCACATCCTTCTAATTGCCGTATGTGGGACGCGGCCTCAGCATGGCCGGAGAAGCAGTGCATCGGTGCGCCCCAGGATCCGAACCCATGCCGCCAGTAGCAGAGCACGCGCACTTAACCACCAAGCCATGGGGCCAGCCCCCCGACTTCTTTTTTTTGCATAGTAATACATTATAAGGTGTCCTTTATTAGCTTTCCTCTCTATTGATCAATTTCGGTATTGTT